CGAGCCTGTAGTCAATGGAAAAGAACAAGGAATATGCTTGCTTCCATGCGTCTCCTGGACCACCTGTATCGCCTGAGTCCTTTCTGATCTCGTCTGACGGGCCCGTCCCAGGCGCGGGCCTGCCGGATACCGAAACAACAATTTATGTCGAACCCGCAGAAGCCCTTCGCAGGGCTGTCCTTGATTCGGATGAAGATCTCGAGGACGAAAGGGCCCCCGGAAACGGGGAGCTAGGCCTTGGAAGAGGGACCCCCCCGGCTCAGCCGACGGGGCACTCACCTGACGCCGCGCGCCCGGCTCGGCGTGCAAGGGGGCCGACTGGTGCAGCCCAATTGCGAAAGACAAAGAAAACCAAAAGCGAAACGACCTCAACCCTCCACCACTGTCGAAGGGGCTCGATCGGCAAAGCCCCGCGCCGCCGAGAACGGATCACGATCGCGCGCCAGAGCTTGCTGAACTGATCACGTAAGATGAGAAGGACGAACAACAGGATAATACACTAGGCACCCAATGGAACGCGGGGTCGAGAATGATGGGGCAGAACGCGCCGACGTCGAGCAGGGGTCGGGAAGGCCCCGAAGGCGGGGCGTTCTGGCTCGAAGATTTGATCCCCTTGAGTCGCCTCGCCCCTCGTCAAATCGGACCACGAGCAGCTTCTCTATCCGGGAACGCACGCTGGAACGCGGGCACGGGGCACCCGCCTCAGGCGGAGAATCGCTGCCCGGGAAAAGCGCGCAAACCGGGGGGTCTTGTGGCCGCCCGCATGTGCCCAACGCTTTCAAGTGCGTCCAGAGTGTAGTCCATCGTGGCTCTGCGAGGAATGCATTACGTTGGAAGAACACAGCTGTCGTCGCATCGCACTCAGAGAGTGGGAGAGAAACAGAGGCAAGACAAAAAGCATATAAGGGCAGCAAGTGCACAAATGCAACAGATCCCTCCCCAGGCGCGCGTGGACAAAGCGGCCGTCGAAGAAGCCGGCCGCCGGCTCGCTGAATCCGAGACAGAGAAGAGGGCAACGACGCGCCGAGTCGAACAGGAAAAGGCTGCCATTGCAGAAGATGCCCAGACACGCACACTACACATAGAAGCAGAAATAGCAGGGTTTGCAAGCGCGGCTCATCGGCGTCCCGCGCAAGAAGAGGAAGGAAAGCGAAGGGTTCAGGGGGCGGCTGAACAAATAATCTCATCGTCGCAACTACAGGCCGAAAAAGAGCGCGTTGGATCTCAAATCGCGGTCGGCGCAGCCAGACGGGGCGGACAGGGGGCGGCCCGAGAACAGGCAGCGAAAACATTTTTTACAAAAAAACAGCTCCAACGCGATGCCGCTAGGCTCGAGGCCGAAAAAAAAGCTAGAAGCGGCGCGCGCACTCCGCAGACAGGATCAGACGGCCCAAGCCGCGAGGCAGGATGACCAAAGACGAAGGGCAGAGGCCTGGAATCACGCGAAGGGGCGCGCATATGAACAGACCCAGAGTGAAGCGCTCATCGCCCGCGCCGTGAGCGAAGAAGACAACAGGTTCACATCTGATTTAGACCTACATAAGACTGCGAGAGACTCTGTAGAAAAAGATTCAGACGACAAGGCAGCCTAGCGCGGCTGCTCAGACGGCTAGATTGATACCTCCGGCCCAGCCGGGCGGTGTTGGATCGCCGGACAGGGCGAGCTCAGCGCGGGCCCAGCCGACATTTGTCGAGCCCCCCCCGGCCGCAGCGTTGCTCGCCCCATCCGAGCGAGAGCGGCCGAGCCGACCCGACTTCGGGCGGGCGCGCCAGATGAGCCATGTCATGCATGCTCGAAGCCCGCGCTCGGGATGTGCGCGGGGCGTGGGGAACCTGCGTGTAGGGGGCGCCTGGGCGAAGAGGCCCAGAGATGCTCTGAATGCACCAGAAGCAAGGAGTCCAGGGAATAAGATGATCCCGCGATACAGGCAGAGCAACTAAGCATGCCCGAACACATCTACCGCAACAGAAACGAAGCGAGGAAAATAGCAAAACAGGCAGATGATGGCTCGGAGACATTCTGACATATCGGAAGAGTTCGAAGACGCCAGCAGCACATGCATGAGCTGAAAGATCAGAGCAGAGTTGGCCGCCATCAAACGAGAAATAGCTGCCGCTAAAGCAGATCAAGACACGTTGCAGAAGTCGAAAGAGCGCGCAGTACTAAGGGAAGCCATTGTGGAACCACAGGTCAGCAGCTTGACCACGGTCATGGGCGCACCATCTTTTCAGTCAGTAGAGTCGGATCTCGACCGCGTACCTCCGTTTACGGCGCCGCGCGCGCCTAGTCTCCCCCTTTCGAACTCACGACTTATTCCGGGCCAGCCGTGGAGAAATCATTCAACCCGAATGAAGGTTCTTTCGCGGCGAATATTCAAGGATCGAACCCTGGTAATGCCCCGTCCAACGCCAAGTTTTCATGGCCTCCTGACAACTGCGACCTGCCTGGTCACCTCCCATTCACCAGCGGCTCAGCCGTATCTGGCGGGGGCGGGGGCGG